CTTGTCCAAAAACCAATTATCCATCCGTGAGAGGTCGGGGCAGGATGGAGGTTTCCATTCTAGCCCGATACTCCCAGCGGCTCGAGACAGCATGGCCGTCATCTCGGGATCTGACGCTGACAACGCTGGAACTCCCGAAGGAGGCAACGCAGCCGGATCTTCCTCTCCCGAGGAATCAAGCCCGCCTAGTGATGCTGTGATAGACATCGCATCATCATCTGGGGCGCTGCTCGAAGCAGCCGGTGCCGCCGAAGAGACAACCGACCGAGTCGAACTAGCGCCCGCTGGCTCACGCACTGAGGCGGGAGGTGTGGCCCGAGGAATCGTCGGGGCTTTATCCCACACCGTCACCGTCAGATCGCCCGGTCCCCGGGTCGACGGGCCCCCTTTCGTGAAGGAAGCCGATCGAGTAGGGGGGACCGGGGCTCTCACTCTAGTGAGATCATTGAGCCGCGACCTCAGTGTGGAGATGGTCATGGTCCCACAGAAGGAACATGAGTCATCCACGAACGCTGCTGCTGCATGCTGAATGCCCAAGCAAACAAAGCAGCGTTCGTGACCATCAGATGACGATAGAAATCTACCACATCCAGAAGGGCACGGGCGAACCATCTTTAAAAAGACGTGCCGCGTGCAGCTCTTTTACAGAGAGGAGAGAAATTCACTCTTTCAGCGCTGAGGCTACCAGGGAGAAGCGCAAAGTCTGGCAGACCACTGCACAGATCGCAGGCAATGCAGAATCTCGCTGGGTACCGCCGTCACACCAACACTGAAGAGGACGCTCGTCTCGAAGAGTCTTGAATCAGCTTTGAGGAGTGAAGAGGTTCTCTTGGCTCCGAAGCGAAAACATACTGCGGTTGCGTTCACTTCCTCCTTTTATACTCACGGAGTAGGGCGGAGTACGCTATGCAAATTTCCGCAGCCCCAAGGCATTGCATGCCATTGGCTCGTGTTTAAATACTCGAAGAGGATTGGCTTTCTATGCGAAATCCCCCAATCTCCGTCACTTCTGACGTAACTCGAAGTGACTACGAAAGGGAACTCTGATATATATATATATATATATATATATATATATTCAATAAATAGAAATAGACCTTTTTGTTGTGGATGCATTCCTTTTGAACACTTTTCTTCTGGCATGCTGTATTTTAATGTTTTAACTAGAGATAATTGCTAATCATGATAATAGCAGATTATCAGAAAATCGTTTCGTGCAAATAATGCACAACCATGTCTATCTCTTTCCATTAAAATATAAATCAATTAAAAATACTATTTGGCCAGTGGAACAGATTGAGAAAAACTTTCTCTGAAATGTATTTAACACTATTTGATTTATTCATTCAAAAACAGGGCAAGGATATAGGCTACTGTATCTGCATATATCTGTATAGGCTACTAAAAAAAAAATGTTTGTAACAATGTGACGGCACATCCGCATTTCATATTTTCCTAACGTGTTGTACCGTTAAACTTGGTATCACGTGGATGAATAATCATATGCAAATGATATGCAGATGAGGATATGCATATTTAAACTAGGTGTTGTAATCTCCATATATGGTTATTTCGGGGAGGAGACGCACGTGCGTATAATCTCCCGCTGACTGGGATTTATAAAGTGAATTCTGCGCAGGTTCTGGCGTACGAACGGTTTTATAAATCTGAAAACTTTTGTGCGTACGCAAATTTTGCCTTATGTGCGTACGCACACTTTAAGGATGAAATCTACGCAAAGTTTTATACATGAGGCCCCAGGTGTCTTCAATAATGCTCAATCATCGAGTAGTATGAAGCTGCAGACTCGGAGACCTGCATACAGTCCCCCTGCACACAGAGTCCCGCATTCTCAGACCCCTCGTTTTTCGAGACAGCGCCTCCTATCAAATTATATCGGATAAACATGTGAAGAACTTAAGCCAAACCGTGAGTAGGCTATCTTCAATTTTATTTAGCGAATCGTAGCCTACTCGTTTGATTTATTTTTTAATAAAACTAATTTAGCTCATCGATACAACATATGAATAGTCCATATTTGTAAAGATAGTTTGTAACAAGATTTGAGCCGTTAATGTATGTTTTTTCGCCCTCTTCCCCCTGAAAATATTTAGACAGCTTATTAGCCTTTAACCTTGGACTTTTTGTAGAAATGTCATATGCTGCAGTTTTTTTTCACTGCCCATTCTGTGCCCGGGCCCCCATATATTTCAAACCCACAAAGTTGTCCAAAGATCAAAAACATCTCAAGGGACACTTCAACAGAGCAGTGCAACATGGTAACCATTTGCAAACATCTTTTTCTTTTTTTTTTCTTTTTGAAACATCATAAGACATGTGCTATCGGTCATGTTGTAAGCTATTCCAGGGTAGCCTACACCATACATCGATGGAGTTGCCCCTGCCGAATCCAGCAACATATCATTTTATGATTATGCAAAGCGCCTTAGTTATAAATGAGTTTTTTAATGCAATTGAAGACAAAAAGTAAAGTCACGAACACTGTTTTTTCTTCCTTTGTTCTTTACAGCAAGATGATGTTTAGGTGATCATTAAATAAAGTACAGAATTGTTTATTCTTGGTGTTTTGTCTATTCTGATTTGTTTTGCTTCACATTCAAAATATCAAAAAAATAGATAGGCTATTGTAATGTTAGCATGGAAATATTAATTAGACCATTATAGGTTGAACTGAAAGAAAAATTGGAATTTGAATAAAAAATAAATAAATAAAACATTGTAGCAATATAATATCACATACTATTTTTCAGAAGATAGTTCAATCTGTAATTGTATCCCTTTCATCAGTAAAAATGAGTTTTTTTGGCACCTGCATTAAGCAGGGAACGCAAATATTTATTGGATAATTTATTTGGAGACCGTAATATTGCATCCTATTGTTTTTAATTGCATTTGGATAATCGTGCGCTGTACTCTGTGTGCGGGTGGTATTCGATATTTTGAACAGCAGGAGGCGCTTTGTTCGAAAAACGAGGGGTCTGAGAATGCGGGACTCTCGGTGGGGGACTGTAGATGCAGGTCTCCGAGTCTGCAGCTTCATAATATTGGCATCAGAAACTCAAAATATGCTATCTGAACTACATAAATTAAGTTGATTTGACAAAAGAAAAAACGTGATTACAAACATGAAAATATTTTAGTGTTAATATTATTTTAGTAGTAATATTTTAATATATAAAAAATATTGCAGGGGCAACTCCATAGGACCGATAGCACATGTCTTATGATGTTTCAAAAAGAAAGAAAGAAAAAAAAGAAAAAGATGTTTGCAAATAGTTACCATGTTGCACTGCTCTGTTGAAGTGTCCTTTGAGATGTTTTTGATCTTTGGACAACTTTGTTTGAAATATACGGGGGCACAGAATGGGCAGTGAAAAAAACTGCAGCATATGACATTTCTACAAAAAGTCCAAGGTTAAAGGCTAATGTAAACGTAAGCTATCTAAATATTTTCGGGGGGGAAGAGGGCCAAAAAACATACATTAACGGCTCATATCTTGTTACAAACTATCTTTACAAATATTCAATAGACTATTCATATGTTGTAGGGTAGGCTATCGATGAGCTAAATTAGTTTTATTAAAAAATAAATCAAACGAGTAGGCTAGTACGATTCGCTAAATAAAATTAAAGATAACCTACTCATGTTTTGGCTTAAGCTCTTCACATGTTCTTCACATGTTTATCCGATACAATTTGATAGGAGGCGCTGTCTCGATAAACGAGGGGTCTGAGAATGCGGGACTCTGGGTGCAGGGGAACTGTAGATGCAGGTCTCTGAGTCTGCTGCTTCATACTACTCGATGATGATGAAATCAATGTCCTTCATTGTATTAACTCAATTTTTCCATTTCAATGAACTTAAAATTTTAAGGCAACCAGGCTTTTTTTTTTTTTAAGTTAAACCAGCAATATTTTTTACAGTGCATAATAATTAATAAAGGCTGGTTTCTAAAGTACTTCTTCCTGTATTAATGTTCATGGGTTGCCTAAATGGGTTCCATTCAGACCTTAACATTAAGTCTTTTACTGTTATATGTCAACAAGATTTAAAAAAAAAAAAAAAAAAAAAAACATAGTCACCTGCTATACCCAATGTTTAGATCTGTTTGGGTATTTATGCAAATTACCACATCTGTAATTAGATTATGCACCATTTGTCCATGTTAACAAACAATTGCAAAAAACTTGTAATACAGTTTTTGTTTGTCTTGATGTAAGTAATCAACTCAGTGATTTTCATGATGATATCTAAAGGTTAATATTTTTACCCTTTTCACTTGAGAAAAAGAATGAATATACGAATGAATGGGATATATTTGGGTCTTTTTCTAAACTTTCCCCTAATGGGATTCTTCAGGGCTTTTTTTCCCCTAACTCAGGACATATTAAGGATACAAAATCAGTTCGATTCTGTTGCAATTTGTTCAAGGAATATCTGTGTAAGTGTTTACTATCTCATTTCGCTGAGTTTTTATGAAAAGTACTAATTTCTTAAAATATTTACATAACAGTTAATCCAACTAACCCCTGCTACAACTACACTGTGCTGGACAATCCATGGAGATCCATCAATAATACATATGCTCGAAAGCACATGTGTGACGTACCTGTTTCCTGGAGCGGCTGGTATCGTCTCTTCATTAACGGCATGAGCGCTCATATCCCAGACACGTGTGTTGTGAGGTACAGCTGTGGCACTGATACCGGACTGTGGATCCGTGGTGGACACCCAACAGTAACAGATGGAGTCGTCACTCGAGATGTCTGCGGTCATGCTTACAATTACTGCTGCTATTTCGGGTCTTTTCCCATTAAAGTCAAAGCCTGTCCAGGAGATTATTATGTCTATGAGCTGGTCAGTCCAACTGAATGCAGTATTGCATACTGTGCAGGTAATTATATTAACATGAGCTCTTTCTACACATTCATGATATTTGTGTTTCTGTTGATTAATCATTATTCATCCAAACTTTCAGACACTGGCAGCATTAACACCAGCCCTACAACTGTCACACCAGTGACCATCTCACCTGGTAATGTAACACACTGTGTCTCTATTGGCTTATTTCCTGAATGTTTTCTAATGTATGTAGTCTACAGATCAGGGGCCTCATGTATAAAACTTTGCGTAGATTTCATCCTTAAAGTGTGCGTACGCACATAAGGCAAAATTTGCGTACGCACAAAAGTTTTCAGATTTATAAAACCGTTCGTACGCCAGAACCTGCGCAGAATTCACTTTATAAATCCCAGTCAGCGGGAGATTATACGCACGTGCGTCTCCTCCCGAAATAACCATATATGGAGATTACAACACCTAGTTTAAATATGCATATCCTCATCTGCATATCATTTGCATATGATTATTCATCCACGTGATACCAAGTTTAACGGTACAACACGTTAGGAAAATATGAAATGCGGATGTGCCGTCACATTGTTACAAACATTATACAGTAGCCTATACAGATATATGCAGATACAGTAGCCTATATCCTTGCCCTGTTTTTGAATGAATAAATCAAATAGTGTTAAATACATTTCAGAGAAAGTTTTTCTCAATCTGTTCCACTGGCCAAATAGTATTTTTAATTGATTTATATTTTAATGGAAAGAGATAGACATGGTTGTGCATTATTTGCACGAAACAGTTTTCTCAGACAATCTCTAGTTAAAAAATTAAAACACAGCATGCCAGAAGAAAAGTGTTCAAAAGCATTGCATCCACAATAAATAGGTCTATTTCTATTTATTGAATAGTTTAAACCATTCTCTTATTTATTTAAACTGTTATTGTGAATATGGACTGTATTTATGATTTGGACTCATAATGAAGATTTACGGTTTAACTCCATCTGCCGTTAGATTATATAGGCTATATGTGCGTCAGTTTCACCAAACGGCCCAACGTGCGTGCTGCACTGTCAGAAAAAAAGGTACGAAAGCTGTCACTGGGGCGGTACCTTTTCAAAAAGGTACACTTTTGTACCTAAAGGGTGCATATTGGTACCATAATTGTACAAATATGTACCATGAAGGTACCAATATGCACCCTTTAGGTACAAGGTGTACCATATAGGTACCAATATGCACCCTTTAGTTACAAAAGTGTACCTTTTGAAAAGGTACCGCCCCAGTGACAGCTTTCGTACCTTTTTTCTGAGAGTGTGGCGCGGTCATTAAGAAGGGATGGATGTTTGCTTCAAGTGATGAAAGGTTTGTGAAATTATATTTGTATTATCTTTCTGTAGATGTATAATTTTCTTTAGATTCTCTGTCTAATCAAAAAGACATTTGACTCCAGCTCACCATCGGTGTCGCCAAAACCCATACTCTTCTAAAAGAGTTCGTACGCACGGTCAAGAGCATCCTTATGGTGTGCACTTATTTACGGCAAGTTTATTTTTTATAAATCCCGATGTGCGCGTGGAAAAATGCGTACGCATATTTCTATGCCCATTTTGTGCGTACGCAACTTTGTGCGTGAGGCCCCAGGGCTGTATTTCCCAAAAGCATCATCATAAGTCTCAGAGCAACGGACACCAATCCCACATAGCAACATTGTTTCGGCCCAGATCCGGCCGACTTCTGGCACTTGTGGGATGCGGATCTGGCCCACATGCAGCAATGAATGACGGCCCTTGGGTGGCTCACTCCTGTTCGCCAGATCTCGGCCACTAGCAGGGCCGGTGCCAGAAAATTTTTAACGCAGGTGCTGAGGGCGTGCTAGATGATTGACAGGTGGAGCTGCGCTATATATATATATATATTAGTGTTGTACGGTGCACCGATAAGCCTACTTAAAAAGTAGCGCGATACTCGGAAATTAAAAACCTAACTATACCTAAATTTATTAGAATTGATACTTTTATGAATAACCGCATTCCAGATTTGTAAGAGACATATCGGTGCGTGCAATGCACGCTTCCAGTCCCTCCCTATGGTCTGTCAAAACATCATCTAAAATGATCTATAGGCTATATGATTATAATCAGAGCATGTGCATGTTTGTCAGTGATTTATATTAGGTTATTACAGCATTTAAAGAGCACAGACCTACGCAAAGGAGGTGCATTTGAAACTTTTGCCATTTCTGCAGCTGAGGCAAACGCATTAACGGACTCCCTGTCAGACTCCGTACAGTTAAAATCCGATTCTGAAACATTGTCAACCTCGGGCTGAACTGAGGTAAATTTATGTACTCATTTTCACAAACTAAATTAGAATTACGAGTTTGTTTACTTGGCAGAAGGAAATGCTCCATCTTTTTAAATAATACTAATACATTTCAATTTACGTGACCTTACGTCAGACGTCGCATATGTGTAATGAGTAAAATGTTTGTCTTAAATTATTTTATCATTTATTAATTAGAATATTCGAAAACATACTAATTTTTATTAGTAAACTGTTTTCAATATAGCCAAAATATAATTGCTTATATTAAGCACTGAACTTTATTAAGAACTGGACTTTATCTGAGCCACAAAATCTGTGTATATTAAATATGGAGTCATCTCAACCTTAATAAGCCTGTTAACAAGCAGAATCACTGAAGGAAAGAAGAGAATGGAAAAAGAGACGAGCAGAACAACTACAACTGACTTTAGACACAGTCTTAGATGAAATCACCTGAAGAGAAAAGAAGACATTATATCTGAAGATCTCAGCAGAGGAGGATGAAACAACTCCACAAACAGCATTACCAGCTTCACTTATTACTAACGAGACTGACTTTATTTCTGTCAGACTTCTACAGAAGATTTTATTGAGAATTAACAGAGGTTTAACTCTGTGTTTCATTTGAAGTCGCCATAACATCAGAATCTCTGAAGAAGAAAATCGTAATTGGTTACCATTATGGAGATCAGTGTTTGCTTTAGCTCTTGAGCCTTTAGTCATTTATTTTTGAATCTGATCGGATTTTATACTTCTGTTATAACAGCCAAATGAACAAAGAGAAAAGGTGATTTGATGATGTTGATTGTGTTATAACATAATCAATTAGTGTCCTGAATCACTGAGAGTATAATTTCAGAGTTAATCATTGTATCTTATGGATATTAATGTAGCACTGTTGATTTGGAATATGCCTTTTCTATTAAATCCAAATGATCAAATCAATTACAAAAATATAGCTGCGAGCAGCGATGAAGGGCCCAAGCCGGTGGCACCGCAACCCCGGTTCCTTAGTTACCTAAAAGCACCAGGGTGGCCATGCCACTGGCTTTGGCCCTTCATCGCGGATCACAGCTATATATATATATATATATATATTATATATATATATATATATACTGTATATATACATATATATATGAAGCCGGTGGCACCGCCACCCTGGTGCCTTTAGGTTTATTGTGCACGACATGCAAAATGTAACCCTGCTTTGACTGATGCAAGCTCTACAGCACAGTTTATAGTAAGAAAGAATATAGTAAGAAAGAAAAGTAAGCTGTTACTCTGAGATGGTTTGGGAAACAAACATTCATCATGTCGCATTGGTTTTAGTTACTTGTCCTCAAACAGAGCCCTACTCTGTTTATATTTCAGTTACACATTCTACATTGATTAAAAAAGAAAAATCAAATGTGTTTTTAATTGATACAGAAATAAAATATTTATAATTCAGCTGAGAATAAAGTTAGTTCAAATTTTAAGAAAAACAAATATATGATCTGAAATATAGCACATTCATTTTTAAATTCATTCAGGTTCAATTACCAAAAATACAATCTTAATTTAATTTAAAGCAAATAATAAATCTAAAATATATGGGTATATGCATATTTTGTAAAAAAAGAAAGAAAGATATATATCCAAAAACACAAGGCCTTAAACTTTAACAAGGGTGCAACTCTTTTCACTACAACAAACATAGTCACACACACAAGTCAAGTCACTTACATTTTATATGCAATATTGACTTTTTAGATGCAATATTGACTTTTTTCTGTTTCAGCAGAGAAAATAGTTAAACAAAGATCACAGTGACCCATCGCGCATCTCAAAGCAATGTGTTTTCTCATTACTGAATGATTCAGCATTTTGAATCCATGACTCGTTCATTAAGACGGTCATCTGGCGACACCTTATGGTGATTTAGGGTTATGTTTAAAAGTATCGTTCTTTACAGCGATTTTTAATTGACTCCTGTTAAACCAATCTCGTAACATTATTGTGTAACCGATTTAATTTGATCAACCTTACCTAGGGTAACAGCCCTATAGTGTCTTATTATTCTAAATTATTGAATTTATTGATCAAATTTACTAATGAAAAATGAAGCATACATTTATTAAGACTAGGCTGCCCTGCAGATATTAGGCTACAATATGCAGATTTAAATATACCATTTATCAAATAATCTGTTTATTTTTAGGTTACACATTACATTGTTTAAAAAATAAAAATCAAATGTGACCCGCTCTGGCGAAATGAGTCGGAAGTTGCAACCTTCCATTTTAAGATATGGGCCGATTATGTGGAAAAACCATGAAATAACAAAAAAAAAAAAAAAAAAAAAAAAAATTTTTTTGCTAATTTCAAAGAACAGACATTCAAAAATAATCTCACAGGGTTTCGTAGTCGAGATAATTGAGTAAAGGTATTTAAATAACGATTAAAGTTGTCAAAGCTTTAAATTCGCTGAAATAAACATTGCTCTTCTCAACTCCCTTCGTCACCTCTGAGCATTTCCTATCCCCTGAAACGTTGAACTCACTGGAGGCTTCTAACCTAAACTGCGTGAGTATATTTATCTGCAAGAAGAATATAGCCTATGTAAGGCTGTAACGATCGCGACACTCAGATCCACGAACCTGTGTCGCGGTGTGAGAAGACAGAATCACGACACCGACACGTCCCTTCAACTCCCGAAGTTATCCTTCACGTCCAGACCCAATGCTAGCTACAACATCTTTAAATTACTAGGCTATTAGTATTATTTTAAGTTAACATTATAAAATACGTAGACTTACACCACAAAACTTAAATTATTACTAATTTTTTTTTAAAATTGGGCAATTTCAGCATTATGGAGGAGATCCAATTCCCAGATAATTAAATATTTTAATAAATTGGCCTATGTGAACCACAC